TTACCTAGTATTTCAACTAGTTTACCTAGTTTTTCCTGCCTCTCACCCCAGCCAGTTATCATGCCTTATTTCAGTACTCAGAACATAATTGGTAGAGAACAGAATGTTCTGCATACTATATTAGACTCAGAATTTAAAGTGATTTGCCACAGATACATAAAATAATATGACTAACTATAAATAAGAATAAAATAATAAGATAATGGATAACATAAATTGTTAAAGTTAGTAACAGAAGAGAGAAAAAAAAACCATAAGTATGCAGGCTATAAGAAATTATATAGTTGCTATCATTAAGCCCCAATTTTTACTTTTGCTTACTAGCAGCCAGACTAAGAAGGGAAACGTGGTCAGTTATATAGCTCTAATTGTTAGAGGGAAAAAGAAGCTTCCTCAGGGCAAGCGGAGCTTTTCTAAACACTTGGTTCTAAAATCTACACCTCATAGCAGTTTCACAGTAGCTTCTAACCCTCCCCATCTCGTGAGCGAGCGGTCACTACCAATCATACTTTCCTGTAGCAAAAGCAGTAGGCAAAGTAAAACCTCTAGTAAAGGTTACTGGAGAGATTCTCAAGCTGGGATGCACACTTCATATCTGTTATCTAATGCTGTGTAACAACTCACCCCCAAATTTAAAACAAACACCATTTTATTTGCTCATGATTCCAAGGGTCAGCAAATTGCACTGAGCTCAGCTGGGCAGTTCTACCAAGACTCCGGCTCACAGCCTCGAGGTGCTGATTTAACTGGCCTGGGATGGGGCCCGGTTATTGGCAGCACTTAAAAAGCTCCCCACGTGAGTCTTACATATTGCCAACCCAAAGTACCCCTGGCATCATGCATAACCCTAAATCACAACTGAGTGAAGGCAGTTCTTCCCAGGTGAGGTGAAGTTAAAAAGGATGTCAGGAAATACAAGACCTGATTAGCCAAATCTGTGTTGAAAAAGAGCCAAGTTGGAAAACCCATAGTTGCTGATTTTAAAATGTACTACAAAGCTACAGTGATCAAGACAGTGTGGTGTGGCACAAGGAAGACCTATACACCAAGGGGCCCGGATTCAGAGTTCTTTCCTTCACCGCTGTAGTGAAAAAGTCTGGTTGGACCCCAATAAGAGCAATGAAATTGCTAATGCCATTCCCATCAGCAGCTTTGGAAGCTGATAAAGATGGGCTGATCATCTAGAAGTCTGCGAGTATCTATTCCCGGGCTCGGTGCTGGAAAAAACACTTTAGCCGGCAGGTAGGGCAGGCATATGGGCACTGGTAAGGGAAAGGGTATTGCCAATGCTTGAATGCCTAAGAAAGTAACCAGGGCGAGAGGGTGAGAATTCTTCACCAGCTACTCAAAAGAGACCATGAATCTAAGAAGACTGACCTCCACACATACCACAGCCTGTACCAGAAAGTGAAGGGTAACGTGTTCAAAACCAAGTGGCTTCTCACGGGACACGTCCACAGGCTGCTGGCTGACCAGGCCGAGGCCCGCGGTCTAAGGCCAAGGAAGCTCGCAAGTGCCGTGAAGAGATGCTCCAGGCCAGGAAGGAGGACATCATCAAGGTTCTGTCCAAGGAGGAAGCAACCAAGAAATGAAGCTCCACCTCACTGGCCTGTACATAGTGGCCTCAGCAACCACATGGATCAATCATTCACTAAAGTAGCTTTCAGTACCTAAAAGAAGAAGAATTGAGTCCAGAAATAGACCTTTACATTTATAGTCAATTGACTTTAAACAAGGGTGCCAAGATCATTCAATGGGAAAAGAATAGTCTTTTCAACAAATGATGCCAGGAGACCTGGATATCCTTCCACTGTGTACAAGAAGTGACTCACACCCTGGCCGGTTTGGCTCAGCGGTTAGAGCGTCAACCTGAGGTCCTGAGAAACCCGGGTTCGGTTCCCGCTAAGGGCGCGTACCTCGGTTGCAGTTTGTTCCCGGCCCTGGTCGGTCATGTGGGTGGCAGCCACTCGATGTGTTCCTTTCATATCGATGTTTCTCTCTCTCTCTCTCTGTTCCTCTCTCTCCTCCCCTCCCACTCTACCTGAACAAAAAAATGGGAAAATGTCCTCGGGTGAGGATAAAAAAAAAAGAAGTGACTCAAAGTGGGTCATAGACCTAAATGTAGAAGCCAGAGCTATATAGCTCTTCGGGGAAAAGGCACAGGATTATGCACCATGACCAAGTGGAATTTATCCCAGGAATGCAATGTTGTTTTAACACCAAACTTCAACTAATGTAATTCACTATTAATAGAAAAAAGGACAAAACCACATGGGCATCTCAATAGCTGCATGAAAATTATTTTTCAAAATCCAAGTTACATTCATGATACAATCTCTCAATAAACTAAGCATAAGAGGAAGTTTCCCCAAAGAACATTATACATATTAGTGAAAGACTGATCGTATAATGAAATATTATTCAGCCTTAAAAAGAAAGATCGGCCCTGGCTGCTTTGGCTCAGCAGTTAGAGCATCGGCCCACGGACCAGAGAGACCCGGGTTTGGTTCCCGCTAAGGGCACGTATCCCGGTTGCAGTTTGTCCCCGGCCCTGGTTGGGGTCGTGTGGGTGGCAACCAGTTGATGTGTCTCTCTCGCATCAACGTTTCTCTCTCTCCCTCTTTCTCCCTCTCTCTCTCCCTCTCTATCTGAAGATAAATGTAAAAATGTCCTCAAGTGAGGCTAAAAAAAAAAAAAGGAAGAAGATCGTAACACATGCTACAACATAGATGAATCTTGAAGACATTATTCTGAGTGAAGTAAGCCAGTCACAGAAGGAGAAATACTGTATGATTTCACTATATGAAGTACCTAGAATAGTCTAATTCACAGAGGCAGAAAGTAGAATGGCGGTTGCCAGCGGAGGGGAAAGAGGAATGGAAATTAATGTTTAATGGTAAAGAATTTCGGTGTGGGAAGATGAGGAGTTCTTGAGATGGATGTGGGGATGGGTACACGACAATGTGGATGTGCTTAATGCCACTGAACTGTGCACTTAAAAATGGTTAAAGTGGCCTGGCCGGTGTGGCTCAGTTGGTTTCGGGTTTGATCCTCGGTCAGAGAATGTATGGAAGGCAACCAACTGATGGTCTCTCTTTTTTCTCTCTCCCTCTCTCTCTCTCTCTTCCTCCCCTAAAAGTCAATAAGCATATCCTTGATGAGGATTAAAAAAATAGGTAAAGTGGTAAATTTTGTGTTATGAAATTTTATATTTCACTGCACTTAAAAAATAAAAGTAAGGCCCTGGCTAGTTTGGCTCAGCAGTTAGAGCATTGGCCCATGGACCTGAGGGACCAGGGTTCAGTTCCTGCTAAGGGCACATACTTTGGTTGCAGTTTGTCCCCGGCCCTGGTTGGGGTTGTGTAGGTGGCGGCCAGTCGATGTGTCTCTTTCACATAGATGTTTCTCTCTCTCTCTCTCACTCTCACTCTCTATCTGAAGATAAATGCAAAAATGTCCTTGGATTAAAAAAAAATAAAAAATAAATAAAAATAAGTAAATAAAACAGTGAAAGAATGAATATTTTTCCTGTAAGACTAAGCAAGTCAAAAATATCTGTTCTCACCACTGTCCTGGAGACTCTAGCCAGTGAAACATTGCAAGAAAAATAAATAAAAGGAATACAGATTGGGAAGGAAGAAGTAAACAGCCTTTATGCACAGACAACATGTAGACAATTCTAAGGAGTCTCCCAAATCTTATTGGAAGGAATAAACCAGAGCAGAAAGGCCATAGGATACAAAACCCATATACACAATTAATTATATTTAAATATATTAACAATGAACAATTAAAAAGCAGTTCCATTCACAAAAGCATCAAATAGAACAAAGTACTTGGAAACAAATTTAAAAAAATATATAAGAACTCTGAACTAAAACCCACAAAACATTATAAGAAAAGCTGAATAAATGGGGAGACATGCTATGTACATCTATTAGAAGGCTCAATATTGTTAAGAGGGCAATTCTCCCAAATTGATCTAGAGATTCCAAATAAACCTTATGAAAATCAGTGAGGGGGTCCAGCCGGTGTGGCTCAGTGGTTGAGCATCGACCCACGCACCAAGAGGTTGTCGGTTCGATTCCCGGTCAGGGCACATGCCCAGGTTGTGGGCCCAATCCCCAGTAGGGGGCATGCAGGAGGCGGCAAGTTGATATTCTCTTTCATCGATGTTTCTATCTCTCCCTCTCTTTTCCTGTCTCCCTAAAATCAATAAAGGAAAAAAATTGTTTTTAAAATCAGGGGGTGGAGGTTGTAGAATTTGACAACCTGACCCTAAAAGTTATATAGCAATGCAAAGAGTCTAGAAGAGCCAAACAACTTTGGAAAAGAACAAAGTTGGAGAACTTATACTACCTGATTTCAAAATTTATTATAAAGCTATGGTAATCAAGACAATCTTGTTTTAACATAAGCATAGACATATGGGTCAGTGGAAGAGAACAGACTGTCCAGAAATAAGCCCTGATATTTATGATCAATTGATTTTTTTTTTTTTTTTTTTTTTAATCCTCACCCGAGGATATTTTTTCCATTTTTTGTACAGATAGAGTGGGAGGGAGAGAGAGGAAGGGAGAGAGAGTGAGAAACATCGACGCGAAGGGACACATCGAGTGGCTGCCACCCGCACGACCAACCAGGGCCGGGGACAAACTGCAACCGAAGTATGTGCCCTTAGCGGGAACCGAACCCGGGTCTCTCCGGACCGCAGGCTGACGCTCTAACCGCTGAGCCAAACTGGCCAGGGCTATGATCAATTGATTTTGAACAAAGATGCGAAGGAAAAAATTATAGCCTTTACCTCATATTACACACAAAAATGTATTCATAGACCTAAATGTAGGAGCGAAGTGATTATCTACCCTAATGCAAAAATGTACCTCTCCCCCAAAAATCCCTACTTAATAGCACTTTACTTTATTTCACTTAGGCAAACAAGGCTAAAGGTGGACCAAATAGCTTGAATATTATAGCAATATTTCTTACCAAGGGCTTACCAATATATTTCTCTCTGTTACCAGATTTGTCAAGCTGGGGGCCTTGGAAGAAAACCCCATTACAACACCCTAATGGACATCTGCATTGGAAGAAAAGGCAGTGAAATTTTTAGGTTGACCTCATGGGGGAACTAAAAACTTCTAGATGAGTTCTGAACTCAGATTTTTGTTTTATAGAAGAAAAATTTGTTTGCCATCTAGAGAACATAATTGAGAGTTATGCCAATAATTTCTCAAATTTAACTGTGACCATTCACCCTAATTTATTTTGAAGACACAAGGAAAGGAAGACCTATCCAAGGCTGTACTCTACTGGGTTGCTTTGGCCCTAAAGGGCTGAGAGGGTCTACAGAATCCTGCCTAGGTCAGCAGCTGTGTTCTGGGGGATTTCTTAACTGCAGTGCCCAAGTTTGCCTATTTACGCCTGGAACGCTGCAGATCAGGACTGAGCCTGCTTAGGTGAAAGGCCTCCAAGGCAAGCAATCCCTCAATTAATTTCTCAAGGCTTCAGCAGACCTGAGAAATGAATGGACACACCTCTCTCTCAGGGGAGAAGCTGTGGGTTTGTCCATGTCTTCTGGATTCCTTCCAGCTTCTGGGTAGGTTTTCCTTCTTGCAATTCAGGAATGGGTGTGGAAAGCAGCAAGTTTCTCTCTCCAGCAGCGCCCGCGGATTCATTCACCTGCCAACACAAGCAGCAACTTGCAGGACCAACACTTCACTCCTTGTTTTTTAGAGATTTGGTTCAAGGCTAAGAAAAAAGGAATTGTATTGAAAACAAAGATACTTACTCAAAATTTGATTTCCAACTCTCTCTACTTACCATAAATATCATTAAAATTGAATTTAAGAATAATCATGCATATCTTTGAAAAGATGAACTTCCCTCCTACCAATAAATTAAACTTAAAACCTCTATTTCAGTTAGCAGTGACCTTTAATTTAGAAGGTCTCACACTCTCATCAAAGACATCAACTCTTTTTTTATGAAAAAAATGTCACAATGAAAACCTATAACTCTTGTCCAGCTGGTGTGGCTCAGTGGCTGAGTGTCGACCCATGCACCAAGAGGACGCCGGTTCAATTCCCAGTCAGGGCACATCCCAGGTTGTGAGCCAAATCCCCAGTGGGGGGCATACAGGAGGCAGCCAATCGATGTTCTCTCTCACATTGATAGTTCTCTTTCTCTCCTTCTCCCTTCCTCTCTAAAAAAAAAAAAAAAAAAAAAAAAAAAATTAATAAAACATTTAAAAATAAAAGTATCACCCCTTTTCAGATAATAAAATTAATACTATTTATTAACATTTTTAAATATGAAAAGTTATGAAGAAAATCAAATCATCCATAATCCCTCCACCAAGAAATAATAACTGTTAACATTTTTGTTGTATTTTTCTTTAGTATTTTTATGTATAATCACTTTTTTCCCCAAAGCTATATAGCAAGTACATTAGAAGCAATTTTCCCATTCTTAATCTATACCCATGTGGGATAAAACCACTTACATTTTGTCATGGGCCTGTCCCACAGTGTCACCTGCCTGGGTCCCATGGTCCCCCCCTTGTCGCCTGTTTCTCCATCTACCCTGATCCCGAGTTCCTCAGCCAGGGCCCTACTTACACAGAACTCTAGGCTGAAGTTTTGATTATTTGCCTTCAGTGCTGTTTGACCCCCTTGGACGTTGGGAATGTGAACTATAAAGGCAAAACTCCATGCAACTATGCACAATATAACAAAAATCCAGTAAGACTTTATTAAAACCTACATTCTTTGTTGTTTTTGATGCTTTGGAAATTAGAGTTTTACTCTGCCTTTTTAAAATACAGGTATTTCCAAAGACATGAGATGCTAGAATGCAGGAACCATATTTGTAACGCCAGCACATGGCCCGTAAGTATCTAATGAGTGTTTAAATAACATTTATCGAACTCTTGCTTCCTGTTCAGGGGAATACAATCAAAGCTTGATGTTAATAATAGCAACAGTAATTAATGTGGTCAATAGCTTTGCATCCCTTATCAGCCAGAATCACTGGTCTTTAATCATTTAAACATCTGTTCCCTCTCTGGCTTTCACCTTCTCAACCACTAGCCTTGTCCTCCTACAGCTATGGACTTAATCTGCCTTCATAACTGCTGCTTCTGCTGACTCTCCCCAGGTTGACTTAGATGTTGCTCCACCACCAAGGACGCACTGGCATCCTCCTTCATTCACTCATGGCCTCTTCTTACCTCCCACTATCCACACCTGAGAATGAGATATGGTAGAAAGCCTTATTTCTGTGGAATTATATCCCCATTTCTAAAGTCCCATTTTCCTTCGTCCAGTCATAGAAGAAGTGTAGCTGAGGTTTCAGTAAAGCGAGAAGTAGAGTCAGAATCCAGAGTTTCCATTCCATGTTGGCGCTGACTCCAGTTCAGCATCAGTCTAGTTGCAGTCCATTAATCCATTGTGTGTAGTGGTCCACATTGCGGTGAGCCAGGCATGCCAAGAGGTACTACGAGAGAAAACTTCTTTGTTCAGGGAACTAAGTATCCCAAATCCTCACACCCTTGCAGTAGCCATGCCTATTTTCATCAACCATCTCTGTCCCCAGGTGTGATTGACAGCAAACCCCTTCACTAGTCCCCCCAACTTTACTAGGCATGCATCCTGCCCTGGCTGGATGGTTTGGCTCAGCAGTAGAGCATTTGTCGGAGGATCAATGAGACATGGGTTCAATTCTAGCCAAGGGCACGTACCTCGGTTGCGGTTTGTCCCTGGCCCAGGTCAGGGTCATGCAGGAGGCAACAGTCGATGTGTCCCTCTCACATCGATGTTTCTCACTCTCTCCTTTTCTCTCCCCCTCTCTCCCTCCTACTCTATTTGAAGAATAATATAAAAATATCCTCGGGTGAGGATTAAAAAATTAAATTAAAATACTGGGCATGAATCTTTCTTCCCTTTGTTGAACCCCTGGGGAGTGTAAAGTTGTAGCTTCCTGGTGAAGCAGTCCAAGTGAGTGTAAAGTTGTAGCTTCCTGGTGAAGCAGTCCAAGTGACATGTCTATAATGGCTGCCTTCTCCCTTTGCTCTTTTCCTGTTGTTAATTACTAGGTTAATTACAATGGTATTGTTTCCTCCTGAAAGAGAAGAAACCTCTTTATATTCTGACAAAGGAGAAATGGATGGTCTCAATCTTCTTGCAACTGCTTCCTGCTGTCAAGGGGTGTAGTCCTGCCTACCCCAAGGCTGAGAGGTTTTCCCCGTCTGACAGAGGAAGGAGGGTGCAAAAGGGAAGGAAGTTTTATGTAGGGAAGAGGGATTCTTCTAAATCCAGGTAAGTCTGGTGTCTTTGGGAGGTGACGGAAGCGATGTCCAGGAAGATGGCATGTTGGACAAGCTGGCATTCTTGTATTCTAGAAATGACAAACTTGACAAGAAGGTTAAGAGGCATAATTTAAAAAGTGAGACTTACAGTGACTAAAGGTCTAATAAGATGTGAAAACTCATGTTGTGAAGGGAAAGATTAATTTATAGCCCCAGATTGGAGGGGTGGCTTCCATGGAGGCAGGTGTGTCATATTTGTTTGAAGCCCTTCTGTCCACCATATTTAACTCAAATTTTAAGGGAAATATTCTAAGATTTTCCCCCCATGAGAAACTGTGGGCTTTTTCCATCTGAACTGATTGGGCAGAAAAGGGAAAGTAGTTTCAAGTGAAGCTGGTAGACTGTCCATGCTTAATTGACTCAACCATAAATCCAAACCACTGAATCTCGTATTTCAGGACATGATGATGCAGATGGCGTCTACAGTGAGGCCTGTATCGTGTGGGCAAGCCATCAGGTGAATACACTCTACGAAAACAGAAGAATACAAAACAAAGAGGTTAATACACACAGCAAATCGTAAACATTTGAGAATATTCCAGGTGTAAGGCTTTTGCTGAAATGAAAGCACATAGTGACAATCTGATAGATTGTCTACAATTAGAACATCTCTGGTGATGTCATCAGGTGCTGAGGCCCGTATGGCATATACAGACACAGCCTGAAAAACAAAACTTTGAAGATATAATTGGACATGGTAATTTCTACTGAAATATAATTTTCCTCCTAAGATTACCCTCATTTCCAAAGAGACTATATCAAGTCCAGTTTTAGTTTGGTCTGATTATTTGCATAAACACAACAATAGTAATTGATCACTTGGTTACACAGGCTTTTTCACATTCGCTTTGCTGGAATTTTTATAAGAAATCTTTAGATTGACTTTTAATGAGCAGTCAGCCCCTCAGGGCAGAGAAGCCAAGCCACCATTGCCATCAGGCTTTGTCTGCAATAGCTGTAAGTTTGGGTTAAGTCTTCAAGTCCTTGAGGTCACCAATAGTGTCTTGAGGTTTCTTCCTTGTCATCTTTTTATAATTAATTAATTAAAAAATTTTTTTATCATCACCCAAGGATATTTTTCCTTTCATTTTTAGATTGAGTGGGAGGGAGGGAGGAAGGGAAGGAGAGAGAGAGAGGGAGAAACATCAATGTGAAAGAGGCACATCAATTGGTTGCCTCCCACACAACCCCAACCATGGCTGGGGATTGAACTGCAACTGAGGTATGTGCCCTTGACCACAATCGGACCTGCAACTCTTTGGACTGCAGGCCAATGCTCTAACTGCTGAGCCAAACTGGCCAGGGCTCTCCCTTGCCATCTTTAAGGAAAGCAACCTTCATTCCTTCCCTGGAAAGATTGTCATGAACCACATGACCAAGCAAGGTACCAAGTGGCTTTCATTGGGTTTGATTAGCTTCGAGAGTCAATCTCAATTGCATAAGTTTTTCTGGTAACATCCAGAATTCAGGCATGTCTCTCTTAAACATGACATTCCAGTTAAAGTCTTGGTTAATAAGACCACATATTTTGGAGCTGCTCTTATAGGATTTAAGCAAAGAAATGTGTTGCCATGACTCACTCATTAAGAACTGCCATATTCTGGAGGGATCAGGTAGAGAGAAAAAGCTAAAAGTGAGTAATTGGCATTCCCTAGATGGGCAACAGTATTTTATAACTTTTACAAACACAGGCAAATACATTGACGCTTTAAGAGACATACTTTCATGGAGACAGGTATACAGCAAAACTCACTGATTTAGTAACTTATAGGTGAACTGAATGAAATTGATTGACTCAGAGAGCTTAAGCTCAGATAAGATCTATTTCTCAGAATCTGTATTCCAACAGATGGCTCAGATCAGAGCTCTTGGAGACCAGGTATTAGCATTCAGAGGCAGACAGTCCTTTCTTTGTAAAACCCGGAATAAAATTCCTTGCCAGAGTAGACACTCTTGAGGAATGGAGATTGTATTATTATTTATTTTAGGGGGAAAATATTTTTAAAAAAACATAATTTTTTGTCCTTTTGAGGAGAAGATTTGAGAGCTGAGGTCTCACAGGCCCCTTGAATTCTGGTTGATGCACACCTCAGGGGATGAGGACGAGGCAGCTGGGCACTTTGGCTGGGGGACTCACATGGGGCAGGGGCCAGGAGACCAGAGCTCTGGGTCTGCATGTGGTAGCAGCTCCAGCTGGTGGCTGTCCCTGTGCTACGTTCCCTTTGGCGCTGTGTGCCCATGAAATTCAAGACTGCCGAGACTGGCACACTATCAGGGCAGAAACAGAGGGAAGACAGGAGGCAGAGGGAAGCAAGAGTCTGGGGGTGTCCTTGGCCTGGAGCCATGCTGGGCTGTGGGCTTCCCTTTAAGTCTCTAGTCCCAGGCTCAGGACTCAGCATCATCAATATGCGAACCATGGCTCTGGAGACATTGTGAACAAGCTTTCAGAGTGGAGGTGAGGAGCCGCCAAAAAGGGATGAAACTGCGTGCCCAGGGCACACACGGATCTGCGTGGCACCGTATCTGGAGGAAGTTTTCATCTCTGAGTGTGTGCCCGAGTATGCAGCTGCTCCAAATAGGAAAAGGAGCCCAGGGCACTTCCCAAGTCTGTACCAGGCACAGAACCCATGAAATTGGCACTTAGTGTGCACACACCTTCCTTTCATCCCACAGGGGGCCCCAGTCCCACCCTCTGTGGCAGTGGTGCTGAGGGATCATGGGTGCTGGCAGCACCATTTGCTGGGGTGCAAGCAGTTGCAGCCACAGCCCCAGAGGCTGGAGGCAGTGGGATGCCCCACATCCATGAAGCCGGTCCCGAGTCTGTGTCTGAAAGGGCAGCATCCAAGGCAGCAAAGGGCAGAGAATTCCCTGTACAGGAATTAGAACAGGGGAGAGAGACAGAGATGAATTACAGAATCCCCAGAACAGGGAAGTTAAATTCCATTTCTCACCGGGTTTCTCTTCTGCTGCTGTTTCGCTCTCAGAGTCCTATAGGTGTGGGTGTTTGCCACACTTTCCACGCTTCAGTTCTCCTGGGAGTGTCCCAGGGTTGCCATTCTGCTATCAGTGGAAATGGGGTTCTTGGGGTACCACAGGAATAAGCATTTCCAGAGGCACCCATGGGAGGATGAAATATGGTTGAAAGCTTTATTTTCATGGATTTTCATTCTTGTGTTTCTAAAGTCCCATTTCCCTTAGTCCAGTCATAGGAGAAGTGTAGCTGGGGATTCAGGAAAGCTAGAAGCAGGGTCAGAGTCCAGAGTTTCCATTCCATGTTGGAGCTGAGTCCAGTTCAGCATCAGGCTAGTTGCAGTTCATTAATCCATTGTGTGTGTGTGTGGGGGGGGGGGTGTCCACATGCTGTGGACCACATGGGGGAATGCCACCAAGCCAAGCATGAGCCATGAGCCAAGTGTGCCAAGAGGAACTAAGAGAGCAAACTTCTTTGTTCAGGGAATTAAGTATGCCCGTTATGGCCAACCATCTCTGACCCCAGGTGTGATTGACAGCAAGCACCTTTGCTAGTCCCCCCACCTTTACTGGGCATATGTCTATCTTGTAGCTTCCTGGTGAAGCTGTCTGTCCAAATGGCATGCCTATAATGGCTGGCTTCTTCCTCTACTCCTTTCCTGTTATTAATAATTAGGTTCATTAAAATGGTATCAGTAGTTCCTATGGTCCAGTCATACCCAGCTTCTTTCCATTCATTCAGAAAGCCCTGGTATCTCTCATCTCTGTGTAGAGTCCATGTACCTGGAACCCTCTCTACCCCTCTGTCACCTGGCCATTTCCTGCTCCTCCTTCAGGTCTTAACTTAGACATCATTTGTAGGGAGTTTTTTCAGAAAGTCTTTCTGAAGCTCCAAATCTCTTCTAATATGCTCCTATTCTATAAGCTCCAAAAATACTCTGTATCAGCTTAGCACTTACACACTAACTCTGACTGCCTTTGTCCTTGCCTGGACTGTCAAGTGAGTGTGAGTGCTGGGAGGCAGGTGCAAGTTTATCCTGTTTATCTTTGTGTTGTCTGCACACAGCATGGCACAACGCGAGCACATAGTGATAGGTGCTCAGGAGAAACGGCGCATAAATGTCGAGCCGATGGATAATTG